GCGCCCGCCGCCGCCTCCATGCTGCAGCACGGGGCGCAGTTCCTCCCCGCCAGGCGGCTGCCGTTGTCCGAACACGCTGGCGCGGGGTGCCGGGGACCCTGGCCCGCTCGGGCAGCAACCGCAGCTCGGGAGCGGGGCTGCCAGCCCTGCGCCTGAGCGGCGGACTCGCCCGGGAGCCTCGGGCAGCGGGCGGGGCGCCGTGTGCGGTGGCGCGCAGGGAGGCGGCCCGGCGTGTGCAGAGCGGTCCGGACTGAAGACTGTGTGTGTGCGTGCGCGCGGGTGTACGTGTCTTTGCGCGTGTTTTTCCTTCTTCCCTCGAGGATGTGAATGGCTTCGCAGCTGGCTGCTCCCTTAGGATTCTAGACTTTGTGGAGCTCTGGGTTGTGAGCACAACCCACCCATATAATCTATTTTGCACGGTCGGTTTGTATCAGGAGAAAAAAGCGCAACTGGACGGGGGTGGGGCAGATCAACGAAACCTGGAAATACAAACATGCACACACAACACTCACAAGAGAGAGGAAGAATGAAAGATCTGGGAAGCTTTTCATAACCTTCCTGCTGGCCCTTCCTTTTTCCGGAAATATTCTGGATCTTTTCAACCTTTTGAAGTCATCTTGGCTTTTTTTTTTTATAAGCCACTCTCCTACTAGCTGTGTATGTGTGTGTGTGTGTGCGCGCGCGCGCTTATCTGATGCATTTGACTGTCTTTTATCAAACTGCCCAGAAGCAAATGTGTTAACTCAGCGGTGTCCCTCTATGCCCGGGTTCTCGAAGAGCGCGGAGGACGCCCAGACCGGTTTTCCCGGTTGGATTCGGAAGGGCTGCTCAACTGTGGACCCTTTTGTGTGGATCACTTTACCCGGAGGCTTGGAAAGCGCCAGTATTAACCTGCTTTCAGGTACATCACAAGGTCATCAGAGGGTCTTGCAGCTGTCTTGTTTCTGTGCATCCAGACCTTCCTGTCTTGGCCAAAAGGATATTTACGTTTTGGTCCACATAATTTGACGCCCAAACTTAAGCCTTTCGAGCTGGTTTCTGCACAAACAAGGTTAACAAGGATTGCCTTTCAAACTGCTTAACAAAATCCCCGACTCTTCGACTCTTCCTCAGTCCGTTCCTGGCTCTCTCCTCCCCATCAAAATGTCACCAGCTCTTTAAATTACGTGGATTTGGGTTGGAGGAGAACTTGAAGGAAACGTGATCAAACGGCTATGCCAGACCACTCTCTTCGCTGCCTGTGGTCCGGTGAGCATCGAAGCCAATCGTGAGAAGAACCAGTCCCCTCCTTGCTTTTCTTTCCCGTGCTGTTACTGGGTGTGAGTGTGCAAGTGTGAATGCGAGTGCGCGCGCGCCTGGGTGCGAGTGTGTGAGTGTGTTTGAGTGCGTGTGCCTGTGTGTGCGTGCGCGGCCGCCCTGCCTCTGCCCGCTCCCTGGGTGCAGAAACGCGGGTTTCATGGGGCAATCGCCGCGGATCCCCCACCCAGCGCGACCTGCGGGCAGCGGCGGCAGTGGCAGGAGCCGCCTTCCGGACTCCCTAGGATGCGGGTGCTGAGCTATGGCAAAGGGCAGCGAAGTGACGAGCGAGACCCGCGTACGACTGTGAAAGCCACCTGGAGCCACCTTGCCGGGATTGTACCTGCGGGCAGAAAGTCCTCCTACGACCGTCTTTCCTATCGAGGCACCAGGTAACTAGCAAACGGCTACCCGCCTCACCCAGTTTCCTTCTGATCTTATTTCTCGTGTCTTATCTGCATTGCAGGCCACTTTACTTATTAATGTTTTGGAATCATTAGGAAGGGCTGGATATGCAAGGGCGCTCTGTGATGTTGTAATATAATTTCCAGTAGGTGGAATATAAATCTTTATATGAGCACTTAATCTAGCAGTGAAAGCTAAGAAAATATGGATACGCTCCACCCTAAGGGGTGTTTTTGGAAAGCTAGGCGTGTTGAACCTGTCTAAAGATGCCAGAGATTAAAATCCCGGGTTTCCTTCAGGCTCTGGTTGCCACGGACCATTTGGTATCCAACCCTCCCCAGATTGAGGAGTGCGAGAGGGTGTTTGGTTTCCACCCATCATTTCAGGCAAGGGTCATTTTGACCCTTTTGTACCTCTGGTGCCAAGTTACTTTCCTTTCCTTAATTGTGGACGAGCTTGCCACATCCTTTAGTAGTTATAGATTAAGCATCTGGAGACTTTAATCTGAAATGGAGTTTTCTTGGAACTTGCTTTTTGCATGGAAGGGAATTCGTTGTCACTAGTGTGTGTGTGTGTTGAGATACGGTGTTTAACTGTCAGGGTTTGCTTTTATGTAGCAAAATAGATCCGTGAAAGAAGTCATTTTTGTATCTAGAGGAGCAGTGCTAAAACCACAACCACCACCCCTACACGGTCCCCAGATGTATTGTCTCGGTGGTGGAGAGGGTGCTTGTATGCGTGTGGTTAGTTTGTTTTTATTCTGTTCTGCATTTTTTGTTGTTTTTGTTTGTTCGTCTCTATATAATGTGTATTTTGAAAATTCTTGCCAGTGCCTTTATTTCAAGGAGTAGGGTGGATTTGCGTGTGCCTAATTAATATTTGGGTCTGATCTGTTAAAATGGAGATTCCCATGGCCGGCTGAGGCAGAACAAATTTAGCGAACTTCCAAAGCCCCTTATCCTCGCACCTTATTTCTCTCATTTCCTTTTCCCATCACCGCTGCGTCCCCTACAGAAAATTTCACTCCCTTCTCGAGGGCATTAGGATTAACAAGATAGAGCACTTCCAAAGTAGTCTCATCAATGTTTTATTCGACAGTGAAGGCAGTCTGAATAATTCAGCTGAGGAGTGCTCGTTTGTCTCCCGCCTTCGGGAGCTGCCTGCTAGCTGCACCCAGCGGAGGATTCGGCCAGCGGAGCGCACGGCGCCCTGCTCCGGGATCCGGTGACTGGGGCTGCTCGTGGGGTTTCTCTTTGCTCAAGCTGCTTAGAAAGTGGAGGGGCCCTGCCTTCTTTTCCTCCGCTCGCTGCGTTTTTTGTAGATCTCCATATGATGGCATTTGCAGACTACCAGCTGGTCACTAGCTAGCTGCTCTCACTGTCCCCGAGCGTCGGTGTCCCCGACTCCTCTGGAGATGGGGCTCGGCTGCTGCTGCAGCCCTCGCAGGCTGGTGGTGCTACAAGGCCACATTTGCAGCGGGCTTGGGGGCTGGGCTCCGCCACTGCAGCTGCCAGGCCCGCGCTGACACTTTCTTGGGGCGGGGCGGGAGAACTCAGCCGGCCCCCTGGCAGACAGCAGGCGCATCGTGGCCGAGGTGGCCGCCTGGACTTGAGAAGAAGGAGGTGGAGAGACACGCGTGGAGGGCAGCGAGATCCCGCCCGACTTCCTGCGCCGGCAGCCCCTCCCCCTTCTTCGTAAATGAATATTCAAGTCCACAGAATGAAAGCTGGCTGCAAAAGTGCCTTGATATTCAGATACTGCACGATTTCTCGGCGTTCAGAACCAGAAACTAAATGTATTTTCCCTAGATTTCCATTTGTTCCTCACTTTTCTCCCCTGGTGCTTTACTGGATTTAATCAGGTCATTTCTACTCCTGTTGTATCTCTACTTGAAACGCCACTGGAAAGACTAACCCCTCTCCCGCAATCCCCAGTAAACCGTAAGGAGTTGAGGGCCACTCTTTGGACAGATTTGCTCTGCAACTTGGAGCCCTAGGGAGAACCAAGAAAGGATGCTGAGGATAACCCGACTTTAACAGAAAAGCAGGTTCCCCCACCCCTACCCCGCCCCTCCTAAGCCCAGAAAGAAAAGGATACTGCCTGCATAAAAACTAAACATAACTGGGAACTGGGGAGGAATTAGGTGAGGATTTTGCTTTTCTTTCATCTTTTTTCTTTTTCTCTGTTAGTGAATTTATTTGTATTTCTCCTATCACTTAGAAAATCCTAGACAGAGAACTGATTTGTGTGTACTCAAAACATGACAAGGACACCTCTTTGTCCCCCAGATTTCTCCAGAATATTACAACAGAAACTATATCATACTCATACTATTTGTTAGCAAATAAGGCATAGCTATTCATAGGGTGCGGAAGAAAGACGGAATGCTAGTGGAGAATATTAGTACTTGGAAAATAATGTGTTTTTCTCCATCTCCCTTTCACTTCATTTCACTCTGGCCTTTTCTCATTAAGGATTCAGTCCTTTGCAGGTTAAGTCTTGTCCTTCTGCCCTTATCTGCAAGAAAGTTTAAAACCAGTACATTAACTAGATACCACACGCTCAGAAGCCCACACTTAGACTGTGGGGTGATTCATGTTTAAAAATGCCATTCATTGGTGCAGACTGGACAGGTGAAATGTCATAACCAAACAGATCTCCTAGCACAGAGTTTCATGTAAAGAAGTTCCTTAAAAATGGAGCTTTCTGCCTCCCTTCTCGTCTCCCTTGTCTGGAGAAACAGGTGCACACCAATTTGGAGATCTGAGTCCACTGCCAGTGGTCAGCATTGTACATAGAACTGGCCTGATCCACTCAGATTAAAACCAACAATATTGACAGAAAATTTCCTAGCAAAATCTTCCTTCCTTGTAAGCCCTCTTATGCTCACTAAGAGGGAAAGAATAATAGGAAAGTCAGGACTCCCCATGAGGACAAATATGAGCATACATGCAGGTGGACAGAAGTTGTCATTTAACTCCTGTCCCCCAACCATTTCTTTTGGTCATTTTTTTCATTTTCTCTTTTCAAGAGGAGAATGACCTTGAGCAGCAACCAGGCTTCTGTGCTTCTCATACCACTTTTCCTCCCTCTAACATGTGATGTATATATGACACACACACACCTTATGTTTGAAATATGAGATTGCGGTGCTTTTGTGTTTTGGGAGGGGTTCTTCAAGGTATCTCTCTGATGGATACCAGCCAGAGGTGATTTTCTTTCCTCTTTTCTTAAGAGGAGAAAGTAAGAGCTGTGGTCACTTGGAAAATTTCCCCACCCTTATCCCCTCCTCCAGTATTTTTGTCTCATTTGTCATTCAGTCTGTTCTTGGGGTTAAAGCAATGTCTGGTTGTGACTCTGGCTTTTAAATGACCATCATATGTTATAACTGACTTTCATCTTTTCATGAATGACCATCAGTTCCCTTTTGTCCATTTAAACCGATGTTCTGTTCCTCCTGCTGCTTGAAGCACTTTAGACTTCGTAGTTTTGCTGAGTTTCCTAGCTGGTGAAATTAGGAGCTTGCTTTCTGCTGATACTGTTGTTGTGTTGTTAGGTGGTTGGGATGAAATGCTTGCAGATATCCAGCAATGTTCCTGCTTCTACAAAAAACTACGATGTCATAGTTCTATATCATAACTATTGAGTTATGTTAAGGGAAATTTACTACAAATAAGATTGCTGATCAGTATTTTTGCCAATTTTGAGGTTGGAAGAAGAAAGCTACTTGAAACCTTCTAATGGCTTAACTGGCTAATCTATCCACTCATTCCAGTGATTTTTATTTTCTATTTACTCCGAAATGTAACATATTGATATTACTTTCAGAGTTTTGTGTATAGTATAAACGGTTCTAAGTTTTATGTTTCACTGAATAATAAAGGTATAAATTCAGGCCTTTAAATAGATGTGATTGTGACCCTCTAGGATATATGACTAACAGGTAATTTTGCTAAATCATTCCACTGACACATATGTGCACAGCTCTGCCTTGTTCAGTAAACCTTGGGAGTGAGACTACTTATTATATTTCTGTAGCCAGCATTTTCATTCCTGTGGCATCCTTCAGTCATTGAGGACTATTTAAAACCTAAGGCGGTATAATTTGTCCATTACATGGTGTGTGCATAGTGAAATTAAGAAGCATTATGTTTATAAGTATTGAAGCTATTCTGATTAGAGGTGTGCCATTTTTATTATGCTCTCTCAACATAAATTGTATGTTATGAAAACCCAGTTTCATTTAACAGGAGATAGAAAAATAAGAATTTAATTCAGAGAAGAATACTATTTTTAAGCTTTTTCATCTTAGTGTTCTGATAGATTCTGTTCTGACAGAATGCTTTTTACTGACCTATGACATAATTTAATACTAATTATGAAGATGGTTAACAAGTGATAGAAAATTACAAAGGAATTACATGGTTATATAAATGCACTATCATTTCACTGATACCAAGTAATCCGCATGAAAAGGCTTTATTATTTAAACTATAAACCACATCAGTAAGGTTTCTCACAAATTGACTTTGGTAGCCTATGTTTATTAAGTTTCAAACTTGGTCACATTGGGAGCAAAATGCAATTGGCCAGTTAGAGTCTTCATAGAAAATATATCTTTTTATAAAAGAAATTTGTCTAATCATAAACCTCATGCTATTCTTCTTTTATTTGTGGGAGCATGTATGTAATTTATTGCTTTTAAAAAGACTTTCAAAGGAAACATTTTGAAATTGGTGTTATTATAATCCTTGTGAAGAACAATTGCAGAGTTACCACTGAATGTTGAATCTATTTTAGATTTTACAGCAAAAAAAAAAAAAGCTCTAGAAAAGAAATAAGATACAAGAATAAAGTTATAGGATCCTTTCCTCTACTCTGAGAGCGGTTTCTGAATTCTTGGAAAAAGAGTGAAAGAAAGCGCCAACTAGTTCAATATGTACTCAGAACTAGCACACTTAATCAAGAGATAGAAGCCAAAACAATG